TGGCGTTTGTTCTTGATCACAGCTATCAAATTTACCCTTATCAAAATTTCTTTTGTTCTGTAGTATATAGTTTTTGCCAAAATCTTGGTCATGAGGACGAAAGATTTGTTATTTGAAGGAAACGTTTCTTCTACATTTGGGATCGGAAGCATTTCGTGGTGGCTCTCTAGGGTGTTACTTACTGAACAGAGAGTTTTGAGCGAACCGTCTTCTTCGCTTTTTGATATGTTGCAACTGTATGTGGGTGAGACCCTGGACCATTTTGGCACTGTGGAAAAAGTAATAAATTATTGGGGTGATAAGTTACTTGATGAAGAAGCTTCTGCTGTTGTCGCAATTGCCCACTTAGAGACTGGAATAATGCAGCAGCTCTATGGACGTGTTGATTCAGGGAGGTATGAAAAATACTGTTGCTTGAATAGGCGCCCTCTCTCTCTTTCTTTTCGTAGTCATTCTTACTATACCTTTTTTCTTTTGGGGGTATTCTTGGGACTGTCAGAATGCATATCGATTCAGCTGAAGTTGTGGCAGGGCTTCAGCTATCTGTTACTGGAGTTCTTGGATATCGTACTGTTCATCAAGTAGAACCCAAGGCTCAAAAAGTGCTTGTTTCAGACAGATTAAGCAATGGTGGCACCGATTCACAATCTGATATCACCAAAGACAGTTTGGATCTATCGAAAAATGAACATTCTGAATCATGCGACATACTTAAGAAACCGAAGTTGGTGGAGGTTGGTGGTCTCGGAGGTGCTGCCCTTTTAAATCCAACCCAACAAGCAGTGATCCTGGCCCACTGCATTATAATTCAGCAAGGTTCTCGCCAAGACGAATTGCAAAGTAAGTTGCCTTATGAAAAAGGAACTCCTGAGCTAATTGCTATATTTCTATGTGTGTGGTTATTTACATCTTTCTTGTTTCAGATTGGGATGTTGCTCCATTCATTGAGGCAATTGATTCTCAGCCATCATCACTGTTTGCTGTAAGTGAGCAGGAATCAGTCTTTCTATCGGATAGAACAGTATAAAGAAGCCATAGCTTACCTACTTATACTGCTAATTAACAATTTCAGTACTTTCTCATGCATTCCTTATGATTCTGTTGTCTTTGTTTGCTTAGATTGTCATATATCATTGATTTTACTATCTTCTTGTTTATCATCTAGCTGCAATATTTTTGTGACCTCTTGCGTGTCCGTTGGGAGTCAACTCGTAGTCACACAAAATTTCGTGCAATAGAAATGATGGGAAAGCTGGTAAGCGATGCAATTACCTCATCGGTTTCAGTTAATTTATAAACTTAACATTTCAAGTTTGAATCGTGTTTGTTCCTTTGAATCAAGTCGTTGGGAGCGCATTTTACGGTCAGTGATTCATGTTTCAGGTTGAGAATCTTGAAAAGCCTTTTCCTGAAGTGGCACAAAGGATTCCATTTTGCTATGTAGCTAATATCCCTACCATTCCAGCTCTGAAAAAGTCAGTCACATTATTTCCCTGAGGTGATATTATATTAAGCGGAGACCTTTCTGAGTCTAATTTGTAACTCTTTAGGGAATATGGTGAACTCCTTGTGAGCTGTGGCTTGATAGGGGAAGCTCTTAGAATTTTTGAAGGTCTGGAGTTATGGGACAGTCTGATATACTGCAACCGGTAAGATCCTGATGGATGTTTTACATTTTCCCATTATTTGATCAACTGAGTCTCATTTGAGTTATGACATCAAAAACAGCTTACTGGGAAAGAAAGCAGCTGCGGTTGAACTCATTAAGATGCGACTGTCTGAAATGCCTAAGGACCCAAGGTTATGGTAAGTTCTTCGTCCAAATTATTTACTTCTAGATCTCATGTTTCTTCCAAATGATTTGCTTCTAAATTTCATGCTGTAGTCACATATTTAGTGAACTGCAACAAGTCATGTTATGGGATGTGAAGGTTCTTTTATATCCAAGACAAATCAGTATGTCAATTATTCTTGAAAGGCATTGATTTTATTCTAAGTTAAGAGTTTGGTTGCAGTCTTAATAGTAAAATATCATGAGATCAGTTGAATTCTTCCAAAGATCTTGATATGAGTAATGACTTATCAGGGTACGCTGGAAATCCTAGATGTGACATTGTGAAAAGACCGACGTACTTTATTTATTCCTGTTTATAAGTACCTGAACCTAAAAGTCTGAAAAACAGTTTAAATCTTGAAATCCATGTCAGAGTGAATGTTTATGGTAACTTATATTGCTCAAGAGAATTTGGCTTGTCTAAATTGTGAACATTTATTTGTAATGCCTATTATTTGAGTTTATTTGCGGTTGGTATTTTGACCTTTGCCTCACAAATTTTTGTGACACAGCTTGTGCAAATTCAGCTATAGATATAGAGTAGAAAGCTGGTCAATACATTCACTTTCTATGCAAACCATACGAAAGCTTGTTCCATTAAATGCCTATACTTTCTTTTGCTAGGTGTTCCTTGGGTGATGTAACAATTGACGATAGCTTCTACGAGAAGGCTCTTGAGGTTTCAAATGATAAGTCAACTAGAGCCAAGGTTAGTGTCATTGTTCAGAAGGAGTTCTTTCAGTTTTTGAAAAGTTGGTAACTTCATCTTGATGTGGGTGTTCTTTTTTTTTTTTTTTTCTGCAGCGTGCTCTAGCTCGAAGTGCGTATAACAGAGGGGAGTATGAGAAATCTAAAATGCTTTGGTAGCTATACTTATTTTCTGACTACCAATTTATGATTTTCTTCTAGCTCTTTAACTAATTTAGAGGCAACCAATTGTTATTTTGTCACCATCCCAGGGAATCTGCAATGGCTGCGAATTCTCTATATCCAGATGGTTGGTTTGCTCTTGGTGCTGCTGCATTGAAGGTAGCTTGTGTGCTTTGGTCACTCTTTCATCACCTGTACTGTTGCTCTAATGTCATTTCCTTCTATCTTGTTCGGTAATATAGTTTTTTTTATGACAGTCTTTGTTAAATGATGATACAGGCTAGAGATGTTGACAAGGCTGTGGATGGGTTTACCAGAGCTGTTCAACTGGATCCTGATAATGGGGAGGCTTGGAACAATATTGCTTGTTTGTAAGTCATCTTTCATTTTTTGTTAATGACTAAGTCTTGGATTTAAGTTCATGGGTTTAAGAGGTTTGGTTGGGTATTCTATGCTAAATGGTAAAACTAGAATTCAGCTGTTTGTATGTGATGTAAACGGTGGTCTATGAAACAACCTTAATTGCAAATGCAGGCATATGATAAAGAAGAAGAGCAAAGAATCCTTCATTGCATTCAACGAAGCATTGAAGTTCAAGTATGCTGCTTCCTTCTCCTTTGTTGATTCTGTTTCAGCCTCTACAATTTGCAACACACAACAACACATGCAAGCATTTGAAGTTTGGGCTATGATGACGATATTAACATGATTTTCATTCATGGCAGACGTGACAGCTGGCAAATGTGGGAAAACTATGGTCATGTAGCCATGGATGTGGATAACATCTGGAAGGTGCTTATATGAAACAACATTGATCTAGATTGTGCAAAATTGTCAGATGTGAATACGATAATTATTATTTGGGTTGCAGGCTTTGGAAGCTGTACAGAGAGTTACAGATATCACTAGTTGTAAAAGAATTGATGTCGTGTTATTGGAGCGGATCATGGAAGAAATGGAAAGGAGAACTTCAAAGAGACCTTTATCTAATGAAGATAACGAGCTCACCAGTCAAATTGGTGACTCGGTTTGCAGCTCGGAAGCAGAAGGAAAGTCCAGGGAAACTTTGCAGTTGCTGGAACTGCTGGGGAAAATTCTGCAGAAGGTAGCATCTGGTGGAACCCTGACCTGTGGCAGTTGATGCATGTTGTGTAATATTATCCTTCGTATACTCAATCAACTCTACTGATCTCTCTTTGTGATCCAGATAGTGAAAAACGTGAGCAGAGCAGAGATTTGGGGATTGTATGCCAGGTGGCATAAAATCAAAGGAGATCTCACTATGTGTTCGGAAGCCTTCTTGAAGCAAATCAGAGCATATCAGGTGCACCAATATGTTGCTTTCTATCAGCTCATTAGTACTGAACTGTTCCTAGGAAAGTTTGTTTGGTAGTTTATAGTAAAATTTTATAAAATTTGAGGAAACTTGAGAACAAAAGGTGTTCGATATGGTTTTAGAAAAAAGTTGAGTTCATAGGATATAAAATATTTTTAATTTTATAGGAAGTAATTGATGAGATAGATAATTTGCTTAATTACAAAAATTGAGTAGGTTACTAGAAATGACTATTATGAGTTGTTCTAAAATTTATAGAAAACTGCTATAATTTTTATATAGGATGTTGTTTGAGTTTTCTTCAATTACAGTTTTAGAAACTTAAATTTTAGTCAAAACGAGCACACACATGATTTTGTATGTATGGCTTCAAAGTTCATTGCTTGGTAGGACTTTTTCATTATAGTTGATGCCCTTTCCTCAGGGGTCTGATCTATGGAAAGATGGAGATCGATTCAAAAAGTTTGCTCATGCTTCATTGGAGCTATGCAAAGTTTACATGGATATTTCTTCGTCCACAAATAGCCGTCGAGAGTTATCAACAGCTGAGATGCACTTGAGAAACACTATTAGACAGGTAAGCTGAGATCATGGAGTCCGTTTTTTCTTGGTTACAAAGGAAAAGAATAACTACTGACATGAAGGTTTTCTTTTCTCCCAACTCATCAGGCGTCGAGCTTCTCAGACACACAAGAATTCCAGGATCTTCAAGCTTGTCTGGATGAGGTTAGGGCGAAACTCGAATCTCATGCCGTACTAGCTTCATAACTTTCAGGATCGTCATGAAATGAACAATGAATAGTTCGAATTCTGTAGAAGACATTTGCATGTAACATTAAGTAGCTGTTGTACAACAGATAAACTGTGCAGTTTATTATAAAATCCAATGATCAACACATAACATACACTTCCATTGACGAATTATTCTGTCTTTATAGTGAGACAGCAAAAAAGGAATATACTTGCAGAACTTACATTTCAAATTTCAACTCTCAGTTGAAGTATCATCTTTGTTGTTTAACTTTTAACTCCACCATAGTTTTTATTATTATACAGATATATCTCTTTATTGGAAAGCAAGAAAAACCGAAGACTTGAAACTGTCACTTTAAATCCTTTCTCTAGGCAATTCCGAACATCTTCCTCAAGTTGACAACAAACTCGTAGATCTTTTCTGGGTCAGGGATAACCTTAGCAACAGTCTCTTTCTCCATACATCTCTTGATCCAAGCCGACAGCTTAGGGCACTCAGCCTCAACCTTAAAGTTGCCGAATTTCTCACTTGCCAAGAACCAGCTAGTGATTGGGATTGCAAGGATGTCAACATACCCAAATGCATCCCCAGCAAAGTACTCTTTCTCCCCTAGGGCTCCTTCCAACACCTTCAGCACCTCGACGAACTCCTTTTTGGCACTCTCCACAGCGTCGTCCCCCGACGCCTTCCAGATGGCAGAGGTGGAATCAAACAACTGCATCGAGTTAACACAAATAAAATCCTGTCAAATTAGACACTGTCGATAATTCGCATCAAACGAGTACGAATTATATTGTCAACGAGTAAGAAAAAGAAGTACCTTCTTGTCAATGTAGTCAGCCCAGAAGCGTGCTTGGGAACGTTCATAAGGGGTCGACGGGAGCAAGGCAGGAGCAGGCCACGTCTCGTCGATGTAGCTAACGATGACGGACGACTCGCAGAGAGGCTTGCCGTCGTGCAAGAACACGGGGACCTTCTTGTAAATAGGGTTGGAAGTGAGCAGGAGGTCACTCTTCCCTCCAAACAGATCCTCTGCCCTTTCCTCGTAGTCGAGTCCCTTCTCGGCCAAGGCAATCTTCACCCTCATGCAGAATGGGCTTGCCCAGCAGTCCAAGATCACCAACTCGTTCTTCGACATGATTGAATGATTGGCTCTCTGTGTTTTGTTTGTGGAGCTTTGAGTTGATGGGATGAATCATGAATGGAGTTTGGGTTTTATAGGAAGAGGAGACGGTGACATTGTCGAAATGTGCTGCACAATGTGTGCGCCGGTTATGGCTGTCTGACCATTTTTTGTGATCATCGATGGTTGAGAGGGTGTATTCTTTTGGCTCATGCCGAATGGATTTCTTGGCTAATGCATTAACCAAGTACCAAACGAATAATTAAAAAAAAAAAGAACAAAAAAAAAAAAAAGTTTCTTGTAGATTGCTGCAAATTTTTTTGTTCGTTGGAAAATGGCAATTTCAGATGTCTACGAAGTAAACTGGATGGATGACAAGCAGAGCGGAAATTTGTAATTGTATGATATTAACTAAATATATTAATTTTTATGGGTAATTTTTGGTCTTGGTTCCGTTACAAAACTCCTTCCTGCAAAATCTCGGTTATATCATCGTATCACGACTTGTGTGATACGATGTTATGACACGATTATACTCATCGTATCACGATGTCGTGATACGATCAGGTTTTGCAGGTTTTACAGACGGTTGGTTTTCAACCATATCCACTCCTTTTTAAAAGCTAGCTAATGACGAAAAGAAATTGAAATTGTGAGATAACAAAATAAATACAGGGAAAAGTTGGATGCCTCATAAAGGCTAGCTAGTGACAAAAAAAATTGGGAGATAACAAAAAAAAAAAAAGTATTACAGAAAAGAGACATCAAAATAAATTTTAATTAGAATTAAACAAGATAGGAATTTGACGAAATCCGTAAAATTGTGAATCAATTACAATATTGAATCGATTCTTGAATTTGTCGGTCAACTATGAACAAGATGGTTGTTTGAGATTGCGCGTTGAATCACAAAATCACTAGGATTTAGTGCTCATTGTTGGTTAAATGTTTTTCCGAAATATATTGAACAATTAAAAAATATTATGGGAGGTAAAAATTTAATAATGACTTAAAAGATCAGTAAAATTGTGAATCAATTATAATATTTTATCGATTCTTGAATTTGGTTGGTCAACTGTAAACTAGCCGACTCTTTGCGATTGTTGTGCGTGAAGGTATGGAATTTTAAAATGAGTTCTACGTTTTATTCCCTTTGCTTCTCTCTAGACATTTCCTCCCCAGATTAGTTAGAACTTTCTACAATTATACATTAAATTTTCACCTATGTTTATACTTACAAAATAAATTATCATCACAAACCATTACCATCCTAAGAAAAAACAAATCAAAACAAAATTACCATCGTAAATACATCACCGTAAAGAGAACCACATCTAAATGGGCAACCACAACGACTCAATAGTTGACATACTCGCGGCAACGTGCGTTCCCCGACTAGTTATTATATATTTTAAATAATGAACTTATGATTTATGTTGCAAACTACATTAAAGGATGTTCTCTCAGGGTAAAGGATTATGAAGCATGTATAAACACCAAGCGACCTGAAGAAGAAATCACAATATGTGTGATGTCCGATGAAAAACCGTATCAGAGGTTGAATTGAAAAAGTCAGCGGTATGATATTTTATACTTAAACCATAATTTAATAATGACTCAATTGTTTAATACGCTAAATACCGCCTACCATTTTGCCATCATGAAAAAAAAATTCTTGATCGAACCATTGATACATATGATTTTTCAATCATTGGAAAAAAAAAAGGATTCCAAATGGCCAGAAGACTCACAATTCAAATGTTCTGCCTATCAAATCAATGCAAAATGGGAAAGACTTCGAATGAGCAACTTTCTGTTTCATGCTCTATGAAAGGCGACATGGGACAACCAGGAAGTATATCTTTTCAACTGTGGTAGCGAAAAACAAAAGGGAATTTTGTGAAGTGTAGCAAGTTTTGTAAAAGAGTTCTCTCGTTCTGAGTTCAGGGTAGAATAGATTTATCTGAATGGGGAAATAAAAATGAAGAGGAAACTTCATTGAAAAAACAGAGTATTTGAAGAGGAAGCGGGCGCAACAAATATATTCAACCAAGATAATTCCAAAAAAAAAAAAAAACAGGAATAAACATCCACGACCAATTATGGTAGAAAATCTTTCATAGAAAATCTTTGATGCAAAATGGAGGTTAGATCTTTAATATATCTAGCTTGTTTTCTGCTCTTCTTTGCTTTGTCTACCTCCTTGTTTCACTTTGCAGAGCTTGGTGATTTGAAGATGCAGCCTTTGGCGAGAACACTGTCTGGAGAGCTTGAAGGAAGATGATTTCTTCCCTCTGGTTCCTTCATCGGCCGCCCGGTCGCTTTGATGGTTTCCTCAGTTTTGGTTGGCGAAAGGCGGATGACGAGTTGGCTTTGGGTGTTTTGCTGGGAAGGCACTCTTCCTCATCCCACCATTCGAGTTCGACTGAATCAAACCCCCTTGGCGCATGGTGGATGGTGTGGGGGTCGGCGGTGCATGCTCGGTCAAATGGCGGTTGAGGTTCGGCCGTGGCGCTGGAGGATCCTAGAGGGAGGCAAGAGGTGGCTAGGGTTTGTAGGACTTTGACAATGCTTGTCCTTGGTCTGGGCCCTATAGTGTTCCAGATTGTTTTTTGTTTGGGCATTTTTGTCTTGATCTTCCAATCCTTGTAACTTTTTGCTTGTATCATTTCCGGCTGGGCCTGGCCCATTTTGCAATCTAAATGAACTGATTTAGAAAAATATCATAGTAAAATATCTGCTGGATGCTTTAGATGTGGAAAAAATGGTCACATAAAATCTTAATGCCATATGGTACAAAGAGAACCAACCATGGTTACTAAATGATGTTTGATAGAAGAGAGCTGCCTTATTCGAGGATATTTTTGTCCCTTAATATGAAAATTTTGGCTTCCCCTTGCCTTAATGTCCCTCTTTTGGTCTAGGATGTGTAAGGATTGTTAAATTGTTAACGTCAATGGATCTTGAAGGTGAGAGGTTACCAACATCAAATCAGGATCGGGCTGCGTGTACCAAGATTGTGGGATACTGATAACGATGTAATTGCACATTTTTGTACCCCTAGTTCATATCCATTTGTGGGGCATAGTCGTGTGTTTTGGCCTATTTTACACCGGGTTGTGCTACTCTGTCATATTTCAGGTCCCAGACGTCGAAGGAAAGGCTAAGCACGAGTTTCGGGGCATTTGGAAGTCAATCGGTTGAGCTGGAGCCAAAGCACGGGCGCGCCTAAACCAAAACACGGCGTGTTCCTGGACCGTGCTTTTACTGCCGAGGCTTGATCCAAGATTGTCCTGCACTGACTCAAAACACGGGTGGGACTGATTCAAAACATGGCCGTGTCCAACTTCAGACACGACCGTGTTTTACCCCAAGGCGTGGCCGTGTTTGTAACACGTGGAAAGGGCACGGGCGGGCAAAACCAAAGCACGACCGTGCCCTCGACCGTGTTCTGCCCAGGGTCAGCCTTTTTAAGCAGATTTGAGCCAAAGGAGAAGGGGTTCCGAGTTTTAGAGAGATAGAGCGATTCCTAGAGAGAAAAAGCGACGAACCAGAGTTCCCAAGTGCCCTAACTTGATCTTCATCACCATTGTAGCCTGGCTTGAGTTTGGAGAAGTGCCGATTGACGACCAGGAGCAGAAACTCATCCTTCACAGTATGATTTCCGCATTTGAATATGCTTTTGCTTCTCTCTCCATGGAGTAGTTTTCCCATTCATCTGGGTATGGAGAACCATAGGAGGTGGTTGGAGCTAAACGGGTTCAAGCTAAACGGTGTCCCTGATGACGCAATCCTCCTTCACCTCTTCCCCCATTCTTTGGCAGGGAATGCTAAGAGGTGGTTGGAGACCCAGCCTCCATTGTCCATCACCTCTTGGGACGATCTGGCTGATAAGTTCGTGCACAGGTACTATCCGGCATCGAAGACTACAGAGATCCAGCGGGAGATCACTCACTTCCGCCAAGAGCCAGATAAGTCACTTCGTGATGCATGAGAGCGGTACATGGGATTTTTCTGGCAGTGTCCCCATCACGGCTTCAGTGATGCATTCACCGTGAGGAACTTCTAAAGTGCCCTCTCTCCAGACAGCCAGAGGGTGATTGAGTCTCTCTGCCCGGGAGGGGATATTCTTACTAAGACTCCACCCGAACTGAACCAGATGATCAGTACATTGGCTGCCAGAGATCACTCTTGGGGGCAGAGCAGCAGAAGCAGAAATTCCCGGGATCGTGGTGTGCACGCCATGGAGGCCAGGTACGGGCTCGAGCAGCAGGTGGCCGAGTTAGTGCAGACATTGAAGCAGCCCAACAGTCTTATTCCGGGCCGAGGTTTGGCTACGCCTCCAATAGCTCAATGCCAGTGGTGTGAGAGCCCGAATCATCTGGTCGAGGACTGTCAGGCTATGCAGGAGTCTTCTACTCCCCAAGAACAGGTGGACTTCATCGCCAATGCTCGGTGTGACAGCGAGTGGGTTAGTCCCGATGCGCACGGTGACTAGGTACCGTGTTTGCATTGATTATCGGCGTCTCAACGACGCCACTCGGAAGGAACACTTCCCGCTGCCGTTCATTGACCAGATGTTGGAGAGATTGGCGGGGCACGAGTTCTACTGTTTCCTGGATGGGATGTCCGGGTACTTCCAGATTCCTATTGCACCTGAGGATCCCATTCGGGCTATGCAATGCCCCGACCCCTTTTCAGCGATGCATGCTTGCCATCTTTGATGGTCTGGTCGGCGAGATTATGGAGGTGTTTATGGACGATTTCTCGGTTTATGGTGACTCGTTCTCTCACTGTCTCCATAACCTGGAGCTTGTCCTTAAACGGTGTGAAGAAACGAACCTGGCACTGAGTTGGGAGAAGTGTCACTTCATGGTTCGAGAAGGCATAGTTCTTGGGCATAAGATCTCCACGATGGGGATTGAGGTGGACAGAGCAAAGATCGAGACTATCAGCAAGCTGCCTCCTCCTACATCTGTTTGGGGATCCGGAGTTTTTAGGCCATGCAGGGGTCTACAGGCGGTTCATCAAGGATTTCTCGAAGATCGCCCTGTCCCTGACTAAGCTTCTTGAGAAGGATGCCCCCTTCCAGTTCACTGATGCATGCACAACGGCGTTTACAACCTTGAAGGAGAAGCTCACCCAAGCTCCTATCATGGTTGTTCCTGACTGGTCCCTACCATTTGAGCTGATGTGCGACGCCAGTGACTTTGCTGTTGGAGCTGTCTTGGGGCAGAGGCGAGATCAACACTTCCGACCTATCTACTACGCCTCGAAG